CGCTATGAGTCGAAAACGACTCGACGGCACATAACAACAACAACAACAACAATCTAAGGAACAGGTTTGAGGCCTTGGACATTAATGAGTGAATGGATGAGCTGTGGGAGGATATCAAGAAAATCATGTAGGAAGAATGCAAAAGGTCATTACAAAGACAGAAGAGGAAGAAAATACCAAGATGGATGTCAGAAAAAAAACACTAAATACTGCATGGAGCGCTAAGAAGCCAAAGCAGAGGGAAGAAATAATTTTATTATATTAAGGAGTAGAATAGAAGATTCAGGAAGACAAAGTATTACAAGAAGCTGGAGTCAGAAAATCAAAAGGGTCCAACTCACTCAGCATTTCTTAAGCTGAAGGAACTGAAGAACAAATTCAGACCTCGAGTTGCAATACTTAAGGATGCTTTGGGCAGAATAGTAAATGATCCAGGAAGCATTAAAAGCAGATGGAAAGAGTATACAGAGTCATTGTACCAAAAGGAATTGGTGGACACTGAAGAATTTCATGAAACAATGTATAAGCAAGAGCCTGTGGTTATGACGGAATAAATTCAGGCTGCTCTGAAAGAACTGGCAAAAAACAAGGCCTCAGGAATTGATGGCATACTGACTGACATACTTCAACAAACAGATGCTACCCTTGATGTGCTTACCAAGTTGTGCCAGGAAATCTGGAGGATAACCACCTGGCCTACTCACTGGAAAAGACCTATATTTGTTCCCATTCCAAAGAAAGGGACAGAGTGTAGAAATTATCAAACAACTGAGCCGAATGGCAGCATCATGATAGATAGTGAAGAAATTGAGGGAAACTAAAAGACAAATTGCATTGGGAAGTCTGCTGTCAGAGACCTCTCCAAAGTACTGAAGAGCAATGATGTCAGTCTGGAGACTAAGGTGCACCTAATGTACGCCATGTATCATGTAATTACTTGCTATGCTTCACAGAGCTGGACAGTGACTAGGGATGATAGAAGGAGAATTTATACCTTTGAGCTATTGTGCTGGAGAAGAGTTTTGAATAGGCCATAGACTGCTAGGAGAACAAACAAGTTCGTCTTGGAAAGGGTGAAGCCAGGCTGCTCCTTGCAGGCAAGGATTCTGAAGCTTTGTCTGATATACTTAGGACATGTTGCAAGCTGGGATCAGTCCTTGGAGAGGAATATCATGCTTGGGAAGGTGGAGGGACAGTGCAAGAGAGCAAGACCCTTTATGAGATGGATTGATTCAGTCACTGGAGTAATGGGGATAGGTGTTTCTGAGACGATAAGATTGACAAAGAATAGAGCAGAGCTTAGGACTGTCCTATATAAGGTTGCTATGAGTCGCAGGTGACTTGACAGCACATAACATTAACAACAACACCAACATTTAGTAGTCACCAATGTCAAGATGAACAAATAGAACATTTTAACAACTTCTGTGGTGTGAAATTGAGCACAAACAAGATATATTAATTGGTGATGAGAGTACAAAAGTTACAAAAAAGGAGGATCAATATGAAGTTGAAGAAAATGGAAACAAACCCATGAGAGGCAATATATTATCTTGCTTATATCACAACTAAATTTAGAGATCATCTCAAAAATATATTTGATGCACTTAACAGTAATGATCAGAAATCAAACAAGTTGTGTGATAATATAAAAGGGATCAAAAAGGAAAAAGTTATTAAAAAGACAGGAGAGAAAGGAAAAAAGTATAAAATATGTCAGACTCTGTTGGAAGGTAGTTTGGTGCTTCCTCAAAAAGTTAACATAGAAGTTCTGTATGACCCAGCTATTCCACTACTTGGAACATATCCTGAGAAAATGAGAACTGGCACAAATGGAGACTTGTACACCAATGTTCATAGCAGCATTATTCACCATCACAAGAACATGGAAACAGCCCAGATGTCCAACCACAATCAAATGGTTTGAGAAATTATGGTACATCCACAAAATGGAATACTACACAACATGCACGAGCAATGATTTTGTAAATTATTACCTAGCTTGAGAGTGACTGGAGAGCATTAGGCTTAGGGAAATAACTCAGTCACACAAATTTTGCATAAAACCATTATTGTATAATGAGAATGAGGATCCAAGTGGGTGGATGGGTGGAAGCAGAGGGATGAGGATATGTGGGGGGAGGGGAGATTAATCATGGAATTGTATAATTTGATTCATTGGGGAGTGAGAGAAATTGGAAGAATCTGTTCTGGAAAACAATATATTTGAATTTTGTAAATGAACTAATATAAGTAAATAAATATATCAGACCCTGGAACATACTCAAGCACAGAATAATAAAATTGTGGCAAGAATTATCAAATAAAAGAGCTGAGTAGAAGATTTCAAAGGGTGACTCAAGAAGATAAAATAATATAATGAGATATGCAATAACTGGGTGTTAGGGAAAGAAAATAATAGATTTGGCATTCCTCAAACTGAAAGAATCGAGGGCAAAGTATAACCTTCTATGAAATGGGTTTCTGTGGGTAAATTATTGAAAAACACATTAAAGGAGATGGGAAGAATACAAAATCACTGTACTGAAAACAACTGGTCAACATTCATTTCATCTCCGGATGCAGTATATGATTGCAAGTATTGAAAAAAAGAAGTACAAACTACACTGAAGGCATGGTCAAAGGCTCCAAGAACTAACAAACAGCAACTAAAATTCTTCAACAAGTGGGTACATTGCTGAAGGATATCACTTTTCCCCCGCAAGATATCTGGATGACAATTACTTGGGCAATTTACTTGAGTAGATCTAGACCCGTGCACACTTTAAATAAAGGTGATTCAATAGAAAGCATAAATTATCAAACAATATAATTAATATCACACACAAGCACAATTTTGCTGAAAATGTTTTTAAAAGATTTTCAGTAGTTTATCAACAAGGAGTTACCACTTTGCAGACGAAAGCGTAAAGGTTCAAGCCATAGTATTTCATTCAAATACCTTATGTTGTTTTTGTTGTTATGTACTGTCAAGTCGCTTGCTACTCATATACACATGAAAACTGGACAAGGAATAAGGAAACCAAAGAAGAATTTATATCTTTGAGTTATGGTGTTGGTGAAGAATCTTACACATACTATGGATTTCCAGGAGAGTGAACAGGTCTGCTTTGGAAGACATATAGGCATGATGGCTCTTAGAAGAGAGACTGTCTCACATATTCTAAGAATATAAACAGAAGGGACCAGTCTATTGAGATATATACAATGCTTAATAAAATAGAAATCCAGTGAAAAAGAAGAATCTATGCAATTAAAAAAATGGAATAAAGCACTGGCCACAATAATAAGATAAAACATGGCAAAAGATTGTGATATTGGCACAGCATTAGACAATGTTTTACTCTGTTGTACAGAGAGAGAGCTGCTATGAGTCAGAATGAACTTGAAGGCATACACAAACAAGATTCTTTGTGAAAACAGATTTTTCTCCTGTTAGTTGGAACTGCTGATATGTCAGCAGAAGAGCACAAAGGTATAATAGTGTACTCACCTTTCTTTCCAGGCACTTGGTTTCCTTGACGGAAATTTCCCTGGTACTGAGCAACTTATTAACATCATTAGTTTGTTCTTGTACTAAAGGTTCACTCATTTCTATGTCTGCTATTGTTAGTTCAGGAGATGTGAGACGTGATTCTTCTTCTGAGTCTAAGTCTACATCCTCATCTGTATAACTGTCAATAACAATAAACAAAGTAAATAATTTATAAAATGTTTATAAATATAAAATAATTCCTGTAGCTCCTGCTGTTATTATTTCACTCAGATCCAGCTCATAAGCCTGATGCACAAAAATTGTGTCTCTCCAGTGGTTCAAATCTACCAGTGTCTCTGCAAGGTAAAGATGGGCAATCTCCTCATAGGCTAGTTATAGTACTGGAGATCCAATAGAGGGTCAGCTGAGTCAGTTCTGACTTGACAGAAATAAGTTTGAATAGTGACAAGCCTGATGCATTTATCTGCAAATAGCTATTCTCTGCTCAAGGGAGCCACTACCACATTGGAGCTTAGCCATAAGTTAATGACTAACATAGAAGATAAAAGATCACTTTGGCTTAGGCAAGAATAGAGAACCTGGGAACTAATCTTGAGATAAAATTTATTCAAAACATATTTTTCTTCAACTCTCTATAATGCCCTTTTTTGTTTCTCTTATCTTCTACACTTCTCTCCTGAGTGCACTTACATAAAACACATTCACTAGAATCCTGTCTCATGATTTGCATCTGAGAAAACTCACCTAAGACATCCCCAAAGGAAAAAGTAACAAATGAAATAATTGTGGTTAGAGTAGTTTAGTGATTTGTTTATTATATATATTAACAATTCATTTACATTACTGAAAATGTTTTAAAAGGTAGGATTTTTTAAAAAATATCCAGCTCTGTATGCAGAGTCTTAAAAAATGCAGGATGGTGAGACTTTGTTCAGTTTCCTTGGGACCCCTCATTAGGAAAGAGCAATTCTTGAAAATAAAACATGTCAAACAAACAAAAACCCATTCTATTTGGGGAAGTAGAGGTTCAGTTAAAATTATGAAAATCCTCTTTGATACTGATTGACACAAGAGCCTCAATGTGGACCCAAGCACATCAAAGATGATGGAATTGGCAAAAGGCCATGCAAGATCTTGTTAAGTATAAGACTGCAATAGGTCTGAGCCAAAGAAGACAGCTAACCAGAGACATCAATGTGTTTTCTATTGCTTGAAGGAGTGATCGTTACCTTGCTTCTTGTTCTTCCAGGCGCATTTTTCTTAAATCTTTTAAGTACGTTTCATAGTAGTTTTTATGCTCTTTCTTTTTTAATTCTTCTGTTTCACTAAATGCGTAATCAGGATCCAAATAATTGTATCTTGGTGTTTTTGTGAAAATTGTCCTAAAACATGAGCAAGCCATGTTAACACGTATACACATGCATTAATTTAATTAATATTTACTGATTGTCCTCTAGTCAGGCTCTACGCAATGTGTTGCATAGAGGATGGTAAACAGGGAAAGCTCTAGTCCTTGTCTTAATATTGGACACTATCATGAAATTTTTCAGTCTATATCTAAGCTGAGACCCAAGTTTTGTCTTGTCATAAGCAGGGAAAGAGTTCCTAGGGTTTTGAAAACAGTTAAGTATTTAGCTACTAGCCAATCACAGAGGTGCCTTGGAAGAGAAGCCTAGAAATAGCCTTCTAAACTCTATGTGTACTCTGCACATATGTGGTCATCATGAGTTCAAATATGGATTCTGGCAAATAGTAAGAAAGCAGAGAAAAATTCCTTCTTTCTAAGGTCATGCAGATAGAATGCCACTCATCTTAAACCTATCCTAGGAGAATTAGTCAAAGAAGCAACTTGGAGAGTTGTTGATTAGAGATGACACTTCAAAGACTTAGTTATGAGTTTAATTCCTCATAAAATAATTTGCTTTTAGAGCATTATTTAGAAAAAATAAAAATGAACGACAAAGCTTTCTTTATACAATGTTTGTGGGAAAACCATTAGCAACAAGTGCTTCGGGAAAAACAATCCATAAAAATCTACAAACAATTTTATATTTCATATTCACTCAACTGTTATTATCTCCTTCCTTTTTAACCACCATATACTCTTCAACAAGTACAATAAACCAAACCTTTTTCCTTTGATCTTCTTCAATCTTCAGCACATCTGGATAATCATTAAGGTTCTTGGCTGCCATTATTTACTCATACATGTCAATCTATTTAACCTAATATTTCCTCTCTCTAAAATCCCTCCCTTCTTTAACAATGCTTACAAGTGAAATGGTTTTACCTGAGTTAAAATCTTGAGCTCAGTGAGACAATATGAGAGAAACAAATGTTTTGTTATTTTAAGATACCTAATGATATTTAGATTAAATTATCTGCCACTTCTCTGGAAGTCTTGATGACCTTTAGAAACTAGTAACATCTAAATCTTCTTTGAGTGAAATGAAGAGACCAATGAAAGAAGTAGTAAATACCTTAACTGGCAAAAAGCTGGCTAATGTCATACGTAAATCTTTATGAGCTCTTTAAATAATAAATACTAATAAAAATCTCTGCAGGGTGGAGAAGGTTGGTTTTTGAAACGCTAAATGAGGATGACAAAAATTTCTATGTAAATAAAACATTTATCTTCATTGATTTATTCATTAATATTTGCCATGCCACACAATGAGTTTGAGCATGACATGAGATCATGAGGATACTGCAGGATAGAACAAGGTTCATAGGTCGACTCAACAGCAGTTAACAAAAGAAATAACATTTACATGCCTACCAGATACCTGGAACTCTGATGGTTTTGTGACAAGGAGATGCACTGCCATATCAAAGGTATATGGTTCAAATCCACTAGCTGCTCTGAGGGAGAAGGATGCAATTTACTGCCTCTGAAAACACACTGGTGGGTCAGCTATGAGTTGGTTCTGCCTCCATTACAAGAACCACCATCACCATATATCTGATACTGCATAAACTGGACAAAATGTCTTACTTTAATCTGTTCTCAAAAATTGAAAAGATAAAATGCTTCAAAAATAAAAGAGCAACTACAATTACCATCAATTTAATATTCTATAAAATTTCATTAAAGTGATGAATAAAAAAATCAGCAGCCAAGAAAGCAAAATATATGTTGCACTGGGACAAAAATCTGTTGTCCAGGATCTCTTTACAGTGCTAAAGAGCATGGATGTCCGTTTAAAGACTAGGGTGCACCTAATCCACCTCATGGTGTTTTAAATTGCTGTATATGCATATGAAATTTCAGCAATGAATAAGCAAGACAGAAGAATTCATGCCTTTGAACTGTGGTGTTGGCAAAGAGTATTGGATTCTATAGGCTGCTAAAAGAGTATTTCTTGGTTGCTATGGACTGCACAGTTCTGGAAGAAGTGCAGCTGGAGTGCTTCTTACAAGCAAAGGTGGTGAAACTTTGTATCACAAGTTTTGACCATGTGGTCCAGAAAGGTCATTTCCTGGAAAAAAAGACATCATATTTGGAAAGGTGGAGGCCTAAGAAGGAGAGTATAACCCTAAATGAGATGGACTGACACAGTTACTTTTAATGGACTTATGCACACCAGACATTGCAGCTAGTGCAAACAACAACTACAACTGGCAGTTTAAAAAGCATTGGAATAAATGAAACTTTTCGGTATTTTGGTGGAAAATAATTCATTGAAATACTTGAAATGCTCAGCCTTCTTAAAAATAAAAGAATCCTGATATTTTTAAAAATTGACATTTTTTTGAAGAAATTATACTATGTACTTACTATCATTTTAGGGAGAACCACAATATTAATATTAAATTAATATATTATTCTCCATTTATTCCTAGAGCCTTATTTTTTGCCATTTCCTTCAAAGCAGCCTGAACTTCTTCTTTCATAACCACAGGCTCTTGCTCATATGTTGTTTCATGAAATCCAGGAATAGATGTTATACCAATTGACATATTTCAGTTAACAGATGCTAGCCTGGACGTGCTCACCAAGTTGTGCCAAGAAATCTGGAGAACGACCACTTGGCCAACTGACTGGAAGAGATCGATATTTGTTCCTATCCCAAAGAAAGGTGACTCAACAGAATGTGGAAACTACAGAACAATCTCACTGATTTCACATGCAAGCAAGATTTTACTGAAGATTATCCAAAAACGACTGGAACAGTACATCAACAGAGAACTACCAGAAGTCCAGGCTGGGTTTAGAAGGGGTCGTGGTACTAGAGATATTGTAGCTGATGTTAGATGGATCTTGGCTGAAAACAGGGAATACCAGAGGAATGTCTATCTGTGTTTCATTGACTATGCAAAGACATTTGACTGTGTAGATCATAACAAACTATGGCTGACTCTCAGAAGAATTGGAATCCCAGAACACTTGATCATTCTACTGCGAAACTTATACTTGGACCAGGAGGCAGTCGTCAAAATAGAGCAAGGGAACACTGCATGGTTCAAAATTGGGAAGGGCGTACTCCAGGGATGCATCCAATCTCCATACCTTTTCAACCTATATGCAGAACAGATTATCCGGGAGGCTGGGCTCTATGAGGAGAAATGTGGGGGTCAAGATTGGTGGACGATTTATCAACAACCTGCATTATGCGGATGACACAACCCTGCCTGCTGAAACTGAAAAGGACCTGAAGCGCCTGCTGTAGAGTGTCAAGGACTGCAGCCTACGATATGGCTTGAGGCTCAATGTCAAGAAGACAAAGATTCTCACCACTGGACCAATTGGCAGCATCAGTATGGATGCTGAAGAGATTGAGATTGTACAGAACTTTAGTTTGCTGGGCTCCGTAGTCAACAGTCTTGGCACCAGCAGCCAGGAAATTAAAAGGCGCATTGCCATGGGAAAGTCTGCTGTTAGGGACCTCTCCAAAGTACTGAAGAGCAATGGTGTCTCTCTGGAGACTAAGGTGCGTCTGATGCAGGCTATGGTCTTCGCAATCACTTGTTATGCATCAGAGTTGGACAATGATCAAGGAGGATAGAAGGAGAATTGATGTCTTTGAGCTGTGGTGCTGGAGAAGAGTATTGAGAATACCATGGACTGCTAGGAAAACAAACAGATTTGTCCTGGAAAGGGTTAAACCAGGTGGCTCCTTGGAGGCAAGGATTCTGAGGCTCTGTCTAACATACTTTGGACATGTTGTGAGGAGAGACCGGTTCTTGGAGAGGGACATCATGCTTGGGAGAGTGGAGGGACAGTGCAGGAGAGGAAGGCCCTCTATGAGGTGGATTGATTCAGTGACTGGGATAATTGGGATGGGAGTGTCAGAGACAGTGCGATTGGCACAGGACAGAGTGGAGTTTAGGGCTGTTGTACATAGGGTCACTATGAGTCACAAGCAACTCGACGGCACATAACAACAACAACATTATTCTCCATACAGATATATTATGTGTAAGAAAGACTTGAAAAAGATAATTTTTAAAAAATGTTGTCTGTAATTATTTCTCTAGGGTAGTATGTAGGAGTGTGACATCAAGACTGGAGGAAGACTCATTAACAATCTACGATATGCAGATGACACAGCCTTGCTTGATAAAACTGAAAAAGACCTGAAGCACTTGCTGCAAAAGGTAAAGGACGGTAGTCTTCAATATGGATTGAATATCAACATCAGAAGACAAAGATTCTCACCACTGGGCCAACAGGCAGCACCATATTAGATAGAGAAGAGATTGAGGTTGTTAACAATTACGGCTTGCTTGGATCCACAATCAACACTTAACACTAGCAGTCAGAAAATCAAAAGATGAATTACATTGGAAAAATCTGCTCTCATGGACATCTCCAGAGCCACAGTGTCAGTAGAGATACAAAGGTGCACCTGATCCAGGCCATGGTCTTCTCAAGTATTTGTTATGCTTCAGAGAGTTGGACAATGACTAAAGAGGACAGAAGAAGAATAGATGCCTTCAAGTTGTAGTGCTGAAGAAAAGTCTTGAACATACCATGGACTGCCAAGAAAACAAATAGGTCTGTCATGGAGAGTGAAACCAAGTATCTCCTTGGAGGCTAGGATTTTGAAATTTCACCTCACTTACTTTGGGCACATGGCCAGGAGAGATCAGTCCTTGGAGGACATCAATCTCAGAAGGGTGGAGGGACAGTGTCGGAGAAGAAGACTCCAGATGCGATGGATTGATACAGTAACTGGGACAAGGGGGATTGGTGTGTCAGAATTAGTGAGACTGGCTCAGGACAGGGAAGGGTTCAGAGCTGCTATACATAGGGTCACTATGCATCGCAAGCAATTCAACAGTAGATAACAATGATAACATACTATGACAGGTTTGGAAGCAGGAGTGGCATCCACTTCCTAAATAACATGCCTTCAGAAGCTCTATGAACTTTGATAAACATCGATAGTTATAGAGGGGCTTCAGGCCTTTTATTCATAGTGTCGCTATGAGTAGTGCTCAACTCGAAGGCAATCAACAACAACAACCAAACAAGTAGGCAGGAAAAAGCATACAATCAGGCAAGGGAAAAAACCACCTCAATTTCTCATGTGTAAGAACCATTCCCGACAACAGGATTCAAATAAAAGTATCAGGATGCCTGAATTACTTTTACCTAACTGCTGATGTTCCAAAATCCTCAAACTCACTGCTGTCAAGTTAGAGCCTACTTTGTCCATGCTTTGTCTCCTTGAGTTTCTTACGTCAATTTCCCTAAGAGAATTCCTTTATCATTCACAAGCAGTTAGAATTTGAAAAGGCACTAGCCTCCTTTAGAATAACTCTCATTGCCACATAGTCAGAACTCACTTATCATCGGTTTCATCTAACAGTGAGAACGCCCCAACAAACTAGGCTGCCAAACTCATAGCTGTTCCTCCAAGGAGCTTTTTGAGACTAAATTCCTATTTTTTTCCCCACAGATCCACCTGTTTGACCATAACTACCAGAGATGTCGCCTTTGGATTAGCAGTGGAACTCTCTACAGACTATGCCACCAGAGCTGATGATACAATAATTTTTTGAGACTTGGGTAAATTTAAGAAGTTTAACACTACTCTCTTAGAAGAAATGTAGTGTGTCCCTTTTAAGAAACATAGTCTGTTCTTGGTGGTGTATTCTGTTGATAGTTGCACTTCTAACTCAAAGTGGTGCCTCTCTGGCTCGTTGAGTCTACGAGCCAGCAATCCCAAACAGGAGAAAGACGGATATTTATGGTTCTTTTTAAGAGTAATGGAGTTCTGGGGGCCTAGTGGTAAGTAGATGAGCTGCCAGCAGTAAGCCAATTGATTTGAATACACCAGCTTCTCCTCCTGAGAAGCACAGGCAATTTCCAGCCCTGTGATTCATAGAACCTAAGAACCTGCTGGAGGGTCAGCTATGAGTGGGTTCCTACTTGACAGCGCAGAAAGAAAACATTATGGGAAAGGCTACTTAATTTAATTATCTATGAAGAATGCAGAAGCTCATTACAAAGACAGAAAAGGCAGAAAAGATCAATATGGATGTCAGAAGAGACTCAATATTGGACTAGAGTGCTGAGGCCAAAGCAAAGGGAAGAAATCAGAAAATTAAGGAGCTGAACAGAAGATTTCAAAGGGCAGCTCAGGAAGACAAAACTAAGTATTATAATGAAATGTGCAAAGAGCTGGAGTTGGAAATCAAAAGGGACAAACTTGCTTGTCTGAAAAGAATTTCAGAAACTGCTATTGAAAAGGATCTTTGTAATGAGTGAACAATAATGATAATAACTGTCTATTTAAAAATGTTATATTGTTTTGCTTACAAAGTTTGTATACATTGTGCTTCACACTAACTTTCATTAACATTGTGTTTCATATAATCATTCCCATGGTGGGTATAGTTCAATGGTGATTTTTATAATTGTCTTTTAACAATATTAAGTGTGTGTGTGTGTGTGTGTGTGTGTGTGTGTGTGTGTATGTGTATATGTTTAAGAAAGATCAATCCACAGTAAATTCATACTTGAAGAACATTAGACTGAAGACTTACAGTATTTCCAAAAGTGGTATTTATACCACTTTTCTCACTTGTCTATAGCAAGTTTTTACCAGCATATGGTGAAGCATTCATTTCCTGGCTAGTACTCAATATAGAAGAGATGAGGTTAGTTAAAGTAAATACAAGATCTCCAACAACTCTTTGATCTTTATCCATTTAAAAATTGCAGATAAGAAAACATCAGTAGTATTATTACCATAATCAGTTTGCGAAAGCAAATTTTATAACAGGCAAGAAAGCAATAGGAATTTAAAAAAATATTCTAAAATATTATCTAATAGGTTGAATATAATATTTACATATTTTATAAAGAAGGAATGTCTCAGTCTAGGAAAATAATTGAAAGATATCTCCTGAACAGAATGGGGCCCTATATCCTTAGCCCAGATGGAAAATTTTGAAGAAGATTTCCTTAACAAGTAGACATCCTTTGCTTAACCCTACAATCTACAACTGAGATCAACTCCCTTTTCAGCAGTATAATATGTAAGTAATACCTTATGATCTTTATCAAAGACACCTTTTGCAGTGAATATGAAGGAAAACTGTTTTAAACTTTACTTGATTTTAACCTATTAAATGTTTCATCAAACCCTTTAATCAAATTATTGCTGAGCTTGTCCTGAATCATGGATTTCCCTGTTTTGTTTTCCTCTTTATGTTGTGGTGGTTGTGTGCTGTCAAGTCAGAGTGAACCCATAGCTGACCCTCTGGCAGGTTTTCAGGGGCAGTCCATCATGGGAGGAGTTTGCCCATAGAAACACATTCCTTCCGGATTGCAGTGCAGCTTCTTGCCACTATGTCCTAAAGAAAACTACTGTTTACTTTGTGTGTTTACTTTGGAAACTATTCAGATCAAGAGGGCCAACTCATGCTAGAAAGCTAAATTGTATTTAGCTAATCCAAACAGCCGAAGTGTTCCTCCTAACAACTTTGAATTTTGTTAATAATTCCTGGTTTTAGTTGTCTGAAAGAACTTCCAAGTACCATGCCAAGGATGTCTGTGTGACTTCTAAACAGCAGCTATCTTGAAAAAGAAAAATCTATGGCACAGTTCCATGATGACTAAACTTAATCAGATAGCTGCCATGTTGGAGGCCAGCTCCGTGTGCCTCCTGGTTTGCATAATCTCCCCTTTTCTAAAATAATCCTACCTTTGCCTCCTAAAAGGGGCTAAATAAACATGAGCTTTCCCCCACATGCCCTTAACTACAGATGCTCCCTCAAGCTAATGCTCCTGTATCCTATATACTGTTATGTAAGAAATCTTTTTCCTTTCCAACTCTTGTCTCGAAAATTGTTTTTTTCTGGTGTCAGATGGCAGAACCATAGGTGCCACCCAGTTGAGTAAAACCCACAAAAACCCTATGAGCAACAGATCTGAACCCTGTTCTATCTTGTACCATCCTCATAATTGCTGACATAATTCAATTGTTGTGGTGCTGTATCATTGAGTCGGAGGTGACCCATAGTTGACCTTCCATCAGGTTTTCAGAGTCAGTAAATCACACAGGAGACTACCCATCCTTCTCCCAAAGAGCAGCTGGTGACCTCGAACTCTATGTCTTCATGATTGCAGCAGTTTCTTACCACTGCTAGTTATTATATCATTCAAAATTTTGGATCTTAGTTATTGTCTTAGAGCAAAAGCGTAGACTGTATATAGTGGGAAAAAATGCTACATACTGAGCTTTAACATAAGTTTCTACCAAGTCTTGACATAAATTTAGATGTCATTTTAGGAAAAATTCCTCCATGCTTTGTCTCTTTGACTTTCTTACATCAAAGTACTCAAGAGCAAATGATGTTAAAGACTGAAGCGCACCTGATGCAGGCCATAGTCTTTTCAACTACTTGCATCTGAGAGCTGGTCAATGAATAAGTATGCCAGAAAACGAATTGAGGTCTTTCAGTTGTGATGCTGGATAACAACACCAAATATCTTATGGACTGCTAAAATAACAAACAGATATATCTTGGATAAGGTACAGCCAAAGTGCCCCTTTAGAGGCAAGGATGACGAGGCTTTGTCTAACATACTTCGGACATGTTGCTAGGAGGGATTATTTCTTGAAAAGGGACATCATGCTTGGGAAAGCGGAGGGTCAGCAAAAGAAAGAAAGAACCTCAATGAGATGAAGTGACACAGTATCTGCAGCAGTGGGCTCAAGTATGGCACAAGATAGGTCAAGGTTTAGATCTGTTGATCATAAGGTCACTATGAGTCCTACTTGACTTGACAGTACCTAACCAGCAACAACAACATTAAAGTAGACAGTGATATTAGGTCCATTGTCAAGTCTCTGAAAAGCCAAGGCACAGAGGTAAAAAAACATGCATGTAGGCAATCACATGTTTTGTTTGACCACTTTTTTTTTTGGTGTGGACTCCTGCTCAAGTCGGTATTTACTCATGAGTCAAAGACTGTCGGAGTAAAAGATAGCAATAATTCACAACTTATATATTAAAAAGAGCAGCAAGCATTTAGTATACACTTTTATACCAGATAGCATGTAAGATACTTCTATATGGATAATATAATTTCATTCTCACATCAACCTTATTGTTACTCATATTCTACAGTTGAAAATGTGGTGAGTTAGCATGTCCTAATGGTTATTTTTAAAAATTCAAGCTTGTAGACTCTCATTTTCCGTTTTCTTCCTTCTTAACTGTTTTCATTTGTACACAATGTGCATTCAAAAACTACCTTTTACAACTACTGCAGCATGTTTCCTCTACAACACTAGTGCTATTTTTTGTTACCTGAAACATTTGTCTCGTTCTCCAGACTTGATACTTGCAGCACGATCATTGGGAAAAGCTATCAATTCATCACTCACTGCTTTTTTATTTGCTTTGTGAATATGAATATCTGTTGCAGCTGACTGAAGCATTGCAACACGTGTAGAGGCTTTGTCTTTTGCAAAATCTTCAATTACAAATTGTCCTGTTGGATTAGTTATCAATGGCGATATGCCTTATATAAAAGAGAATATTAAGTTTATTAAGCTTTTTGAATTTCAGTTTCTAATCAATATTAATTAATAATTAATATATTGGACCATTATTCCTAACTTAAATGCTTAGCTCCAAAACAAATACATACATTGATAAAATTCAAAGAATTCATTTACTAAATTGCTCTACAAAAAACAGAAGGGCACTCTGGCAGCCATGTGGTAAGGAATGTCTCAGACAAGCTGTTAAAATCTACTAGCTGCTCTACCAAAGAAGGATGAACAATCTCCTCCCGTGCAATTTACATCCTCTGAAAACCTACTAAAGGGTCAGTTCTAAGTTGGTTCCAGTTCAAGAGTCTATAACTACAACAACAACATAAAATAGAAGTTTGGTAGCTTAGCTACATAGTACATGCATATATAAATCACATGGCAACTTGATATATTAGGTTAGCCATGTGAAAATGAAATTTTTCTAAGTTAAAAAGAGACTCATTTCACATTGTTCAATGTATAAAAGCCAATTGAAGAAAAGATTTAAAAATATAAGTAAGAAAAAGAAATAACTGAATTTCTGTTTACAGAGAAGAAAAAATGGCAATGGATATTAGTGATGAGTGCAAAATATGACCAATGTAATTCATAACACTGCTTTTTAACTGTGAAAAAAATGTTGAATAACAAATGTTGTGGTATGTATATGTTCATAACAATCTTTTAAAAGTAGTGTATCTGGTGGCCTAGTGGTAAAGAATTGTGTTGCCAATGCAAAGGTGGTGGTGTTGTTGTGTGCCATTGAGTCAGATCCATATCTGACCTCCAGTAGGTTTTCAGAGGGAGTAAATCATACAAGAGGAGACTGACCATCCTTCTCCTGTGGAACAGCTGGTGGATTTCAAACCCAGTACCTTTGGGATTGCAGCGCAGCTTTTCGCCACTAGGCCACACAGTTCAAATTCATTAGCTGCAAAGACAAAGACAAAGATGGACAATTGCCTCCCAGGAACCTGTCGGGAAGGTCAGCTATGGGTCGGTTCCAACTCAACAGTACACAACAACAATACTGGGAGGGGGAACATTGTACTATAGATGTTGTTGTGTGTCATTGAACTGGTACTGACCCATACCTGACGCTCCAGTAGGTTTTCAAAGGAGGTAAATTTCATGATAGGCAATTGCTTGCCTTTCTCCCACCAAGCAGGTTTTTACTAGACCACCAGAGCTCCCCTAGTGGAAGAACATTCTTTAAAAAAAAAAACCAAAAAAACAAAAAATAAAACATCAGGCATATCTTTATTGATAGAAGTATACAGGACCTGTACAAGACTTAAAAGTTTTTTTTAGGTCAATGGACACTTTTTAAAATTTTTACTATTATTATTAATTTTAATGAAAATTTACAGAGGCTTTGGATTCCCATTCATTCATTGTTGCACTTTTCTCTGAAAAACAAGGAACTCTTGAAATATTATTCAAAATTGGTGATCCTGGACTATAAGAATATTCTTATATAATTAATAATAATGCTTATTTGTAATCTGTGTTATGAAAATGACACAACCCTGATCGCTGAAAACTGAGGAGGACCTGAAGCGCTTGCTGCAGAGGGTCAAGAACTGCAGCCTCCAAATATGAATTGAGGTTCAATGTCAAGAAGACAAAGATTCTCACCACTGGGCCAATTGGCAGCATTGGAATGGAGGTGAAGAGATTGAGATTGTTCGCAGCTTTAGTTTGCTTGGCTCCACAGTCAACACTCTTGGCACTAGGAGCCAGGAAATGAAAAGACATATTCCAATGGGAAAGTCTGCTGTTAGAGACCTCTCCAAAGTACTGAAGAGCAATGGTGTCTCTCTGGAGACTAAGGTGTGCCTGATGCAGGCCATGGTCTTTGCAATCACTTGTTATGCATCAGAGAGTTGGACAATGACTAGGGAGGATAGAAGGAGAACTGATGCCTTTGAGCTGTGGTGCTGGAGAAGAGTATTGAATGTACCATGGACCACTAAGAAAACAAACAAGTTCATCCTAGAGAGGGTTAAACCAGGTTGCTCCTTGAAGGCAAGGATTCTGAGGCTTCATCATACTTTGGGCATGTTGCAAGGAGGGACCAGTCCTTGGAGAGGGACATCATGCTTGGGAGGGTGGAGTCACAGCGCAGAAGAGGAAGACCCTGTATGAGGTGTATTGATTTAGTGACTGGGGTAATCGGGGTGGGTATGTCAGAGACAGTGCAATTGGCACAGGACAGAGCAGAGTTTAGGGCTGTTGTACATAGGGTTGCTATGAGTCACAAGTGACTCAACGGCGCATAACAACAACAACAATACTTATTTAGGGAGCTCTGCTTCTGACCCCGTAGAGAGTCAGCTATGAGTCTATTCTGACTTGGTGCAGTCCTGAAGGCATGTAGTTTGAGGCCACCAGCTGCTCAGGTAGGAAAAGGAAAGATGATTGCAATTAACTGCCTCTGAAAACTCGCCAGAGAGTCAACTATGGGTCAGGTCCAACTCTACAGTACAGAACAACACAGCATTACTATAGATGCAAACAAAAAATAGAAAGAATAAGACAAAAGAGAATTATCATATTTCATTATTTTTATGGTTGAATAGATCAGTGTGAAGGCATCCTGGCAGAACAATAGTTCAGCTGCTACCCTATAATACTCTTTGATCTGGCCAAGTGCCCCTGTTAAGATTATAGCTTAGAAACCTCTGTCATAAGACATTGCTATTATTAGGATTAAAAGGAGATACTTAGAATGCTAACATCAGTTTTTTCTGAAACTTGTTACAAATAGATATTGCTGGGATCCACCGCAGACCTACTTAATTACCAAAGTAATGTGAGTCAACAATCTGTAATTTTAAAAGTTTTCCAGATGATTTTAATGCATGTCAAAAGATGAGAGCACTGGGTAAGACTACATCTCATATATTAATATGTATTGTTATTAATTATATTAATTAACATAATAAAAATTCCTATCTTAGCAGTGCTAGTGAGTATTCATGATAGCATACCAGGATTGAGTTTCATCACAACTTTCTTGGCAACACCTTTGCAGGTGCCATAGAAATCTAAATATATATAATGAAATGGTTTCATTTTCAATGATTGACAATGTTCATCTACTACCAATCCATGAACCTCTACTACTTGCTTCACTTTAAAGGATCCAATTTGATGCGGAGTAAACGAAAACATTACATCCTAAAAGAAGAAGAAGCAAAAATGAATCAAAGCAATATATTGTTAGTGGCAAAAATGCAAATTCAAATTGTTCTACTACACCAAGGAAAGGTACAATTTCATGGAGTTATTTAGAAATGACACTGACTAACTTAACATACTATGGATTGGAAAATTGTATAAACTTTTAAAAATAATAGCAAATAATAGCAATGATACTTTGAAAAAGGAAAGGTGAAGAACTCCAATAATCCATTTCTCCATAAAAAGAAAGATAATATTGTCTAAATCTGTCAAAACGAACTTTTTCCAGGAATATGTACATTAACTAAAAGTTTGCAAAAAATCTGAGGTAATTTGGTCAAGAAAATCTGGCTGTATACCTATAAGAACAGCAATCTGTGTAGTGTTTTAATTTTTCTTAATCCCATTTCAAAGAATCCTAGTAGTGTATCATTTAAATGCTTGACTGCTAATTTAAAGTTTGGCAGTTCAAACCCACCCCACCAACTTCGAGAGTTATGTAAAAATAAAAACCCTATCGGGCAATTCTGTCATGAGGGTCCACTGTGACTCAGAATCAACTGGATTGTACCGAACAGCAATTCTATGTGTCTCTCCACAGTGCCGCAGTAGCTTTGAAAAACAATAGTCTTCTAATTATGGTAGCTGTGAAAACCGTTAGTCTAGTGGACAATGGGCAGTCAAGTTGCCTACAATTCACAATGACCTGTACACAATAACTCTGAAGCCTGTCCTATCCTGAGTCAATCCCACTGTTTCCAAAACATCTGCTCCCATTACCCCAGTAACTGTCAAACCATCTTATCCAGGATCTTGCTCTCATGTGGTGTACCTCCACCCTTTCCAAGCATAATGTCCTTCTCCAAGGACTTGTCCCTCCTGACAACAGCCCAAAGTATGTGAGGCTTTGCTTCCAAGGAGCAGCTTGATTTCACTCTCTCTAGGAGAGACTCTTAGCTGATCCTCCAGCAGATTTTCAGAGGCAGTAAATGGCACAGGAGGAGACATCCATCCTTCTACCACCGAGCAGCTGGTGGATTCGAACTGAGTACCTTTGAGATTACAGTGCAGCTTCTTACCACTAGACCACCAGAGCTCCCTTCAGAAATGCTCAGGAGGTTCTATTGCCTACTTTCTAGTGCCATTAACCACAATGCCAATGAATTAATTTCAATTCATGTCAACACCATGTGTTAGAGAATAGAACTGCTCCATAGGGTTTTCTTGGCTGTAATATTTACGGAAGCAAATGCTTCAACCTTTTTTCCTGGTGCCACAGGATAGATTTGAACTACTAACATTTAGGTTAGTAACAAACATTTGCAACGTCACAGGAACTCAGACTTTAAACTAATTGAGTATAAAAAGCAATAAACTCCTTTACTCAGGACAGAATATGTGAGCTATAACTCATGTGCCAGAGTTCTTTTACAAGATCCAGGTATAGTTTACTGTGGGATTCCCCTCACCACCTACAAAAATGTACCAATTTGCTTCCATGAAGATACAAAACTTTGGAAATAAAATATAGAAATTCTGCTCTGTCCTATAGGGTAGCTAGGAGTTTGAAACCAATTCTGTTGTAGTGGCTTGGTTTTGGTTTTGTTGAGTTTCTTTTATTCTTTTTTTTCTGAATATACACTTTTGTTATTTTCTTTATATTACTTAATTTTACTCCCTTGCCAAAATCCATCAAGAGCATTTCCATATTAAACAACTTACACATGAATTCTCATCTCGGGTTGTGAATTTGGAAGTCTCAATCTAAAACAACCCTCACTGAACTTCTTCAATCTATCTAAGACATTTCTGTCTATTGGGTTTTTTTTATTCTCTGCTGAGGCTCTTAGGATGAGAAATTACTATGGTGTAAGAGAAAAGTCCAATATCAACAATTCTCTAACTAACAATATTTAATACCACATGTTTCTTAAACAGCAACTTTCATCTCTATAATTTTTATTAGTATGAGCATTTCACTCTTAATATGTACTGCCACCACTTTATTCTAGGCCACTTAAAATTTTTATTTCTTTCCTCTCCACCCTCCCCCCACCACATCTTCCTGTTGTAAGTATTTTCTCAACCAACCAATCCTATAACAATTGCCCAAAACACCAGTCATCAGTGAGCTTTTTATTCCAAATTCCAAAATCCTCCACAATCTAAAACTGGTCCTATAACCTCCTGAATTTATCTCTAATTCCATCCATGCAGGTTCAGTTGTTGTTGTTGTTGTTGTTGTTGTTGTTGTTGTTAGGAGCCATCGAGTACAGCTGGCACATACTGACATTATGGACAAAAGATCTGAACCCTATTTTATCCTGTTCCGTCCTCTCACTTTCTCACACACCAGATCCCATTGTAGCAGTCAAAATGTCAATCCGCCTGGTTGAGAGTCTTCCTCTTCCTTGCAGACCTTCTACCCTACCCAGCATCATGTCCTTCTCCACAGAATAGGCCCTCCTAGCAACATGCCCAAAATATGTGAGGCAAAGCTTCATCCTTGCCTCCAAAGAGCACTCGGGCTGCATCCTCTCCAAGACATAACTGTTCTTTCTCTTGGACTTCCATGAGATGTTCTCCAACACCACAGCTCAAAGGTGTCAATTCTTTTCTGTCATCCTTATTCTTTGTCCAACTCTCTGATGCATAGCAAATAATCAGAAAGCCCATGGCCCAAATGAGATGCACCTTAGTCCTCAAACTGACATAATTGCTCCTCAATAATTTAGAGAGTTCCCTAACTGCAATTTTTCCCAGTGCAACCTTATTTTCCTGACTGCTCATACCAAAGGTTTCAGTTGTGGATCCAAGCAACATGAAGCTGTTGACAGTTTCAATTTCCTCTCCATCCATCATGACACTGCCTATTGGTCCAATGGTGAGAATCTTTGTTTTCTTGATATTGAGATGCAATCTATACTTAAGGCTGCATTCCTTGATCTTCTACAGCAAGTGCTTCAAGTCCTCCTCACTTTCAGCAAGCAAGGTTTTTTCATCTACAGAATACAGGTTATTGATGAGTGTTCCTCTAACCTTGATGCCACACTCCTCTTCATTGAGTCAAGCTTCTCGGATGATTTGCTCAGTATACAGATTAAATCAGTATGGAGAGAGAATACAACACTGATACAACAACTCAATTTTAAACTACACAGTGTTATCCTGCTGTTTGCACAACAACCTCCTGGTCCAGGTATAGGTCCTGCATGAGCACAATCAAGTTCTCTGGGACTCTCATTCATCTCAATGTCAGCCACAACTTGTTACAGTCCACACAGACAAATGCCTTTACATAGTCAATAAAGCATAAATGCACAATCTTCTGGTATTATTTACTTTCAGCCAGGAACCATCTGAAATCAGAAATAATATCCCTGGTGCCCTGGCATCTTCTAAATGCTGCTTGAACTTCTGGCAGTTTCCAATCTATGTACTATTCTAGCCATTTTTTAATGATCTTCAGCAGTTATTTGCTTGCATGTGATAGTAATGATATTGTTCAACTGTTTCCACATTCAGTTGGATCACCTTTCTTGGGATGGGAACGAATATGGGCCTCTTCCAATCTGTTAGTCAGACAACTATCCTCCAAATTTCCTAGCATAGACTGGTGAGAGCATCAGTAGATTTGATAATTTCACCATGGTGATAATTCACCATGCTATTGGATCATTTGTGGGGTGGGGAATAGGAATAAATAGGGATCTCTTCCAGTCAGTTGGCCATGTAGATGTCTTCCAAATTTCTTAACACAGACTAGTGATTCTGTCCAAGGCCATATTTGTTTACTGAAACAGGTCAAGTGGAAATCCATCTATTCCTGGGGCCTTATTTTTTTTGGGGGGGGCTTATTTTTTGACAATGCCTTCAGTGCAACTTGAACACCTTCTTTTATTACTATTGGTTCTTATCGTATGCTATTTTCTGAAGTGATTCTGTGTCAACCCGTTATTCTGGTACAGTAACTCTGTATTCCTTGTCTTCTCTAGATAATTCCTGGATCATCCAAGATTTTTCCTATAGCAACCTTTAATATTGCTTGAATTTATTCTTCCATTCTCTCATCTTAAGAAATATCATGTAAGTTCTTCCCTTTTGATTTTCTGACTGTCTCTTCAACACATTTTCTTTAAATAGTTTGCTCTACCTTCTCAAGCTGTCCTTTAGAATCTTCTGATCAGCTCTTTTGTTTCTTTTTTTCCTTGAAATTCTAGTGCTATTTCCTCTTCTACGATATACATTTTGATCTTTTCTTTCTCTCTTGTCTCTGTAATGACTTTTTTGTTTCTTTATGGATTATATCCTCAATGTCTTCTCACAACTTATCTAGTCTTTGATCATTAGTGGCCAATTTCTTGACTGCCAAGAGGAGAAAAAGGTTTGTTTTGGAGAAAGTGTAACCAGGGTGGTCCTCGGAAGCAAGTTTGGTGAAACTTAATCTCATACTTTGGGCACATTGGTAGGAAAAGCTAGTCCCTGGAGAAGGACACCATGCTTGTAAAGGTGGAGGATCAGCATAAGAGAGGAAGATCCTTGACAAGATGGATTGACATACTTATTGTAGCAATGGGCTCATGTGTGTTGGAAATGGTGAGTGTAATTCCTTGCTGCTAAGCCGCCAAAGCTCCCTAAACATTTATTGGTCCCTGTGTATTCCATAGTCTCTCTCCTGCCAAAGTTTATGTTATTGACTCTGTCTTTAAAAGTACTCCTCAATGTTTTATCTCCTGTACTTTATTAAAAAGGCTTGGTATACTACTGTGTTAAGAGTTGAGTTGTTTCTGCAAAGTGTCAGCAGTTCCAATCCACTGGGAAAAGACGAGGCAGTTAGCTCCGGTTAAGACATATAGCCTCAGAAATTCAACAAAGGGCCATTGTAAGAGTCAACAGAATACTGTGTTGTTGTTATTGTTGTCTGTACCTTACTAATTACTCTATCAAAATTATTTTACCCAATATAAAATAATGTTTTAGGTAGATCAGTGGGTATGAAGAAAGAAAATAAGAACATTAAAATTACAGTAGCATTTAGGGTAACAGAATTTAGAGTTGTAAGCAACAAAATCCACTCTAGTTTTGTTTTTTTTTAAATTGAAAGTGAATTTATTGGAAGGATGGTACGCAATTCACAAAATTGATGGATACTGTAGAATAAGGGCAGAGTAGGGCCTCCACAAAAAAAGAATGATAACACAATTATAAAATGGGCAAAAGACATGTAAAGAATTTTCACTGAGGAAGATATTTAGATGGCCAACAGACACATTCAGAGCCACTGGCAACAAGAGAGATGTAAATCAAAACCACAATGAGTTACCATCTCACTACCATAGCAGTGGCAAAGTTTAACAGGACAACAAGTAGTAAATGTTGGAGAAGATGTGGCGAGATAAGAACTCTTAAACATTGTCAGTAGGATTGTAAAATAGTACGACCACTCTGCACAGTTTGGCATTTTCTCAGAAAGCTGAACATAGAAATTCCATGTAACTCAACTATTACACTTCTTGGAATATACCCTGAGACAAGAAGAACTGAGACACAAATGGAAATTTATATACCAACGTTCATAGCAGCATTAGTCATCATTGCAAAAACATAGAAACAGCTCAAATGTCCAGTCACAATCTAATGAATTGAGAAATTATGGTGCATTCACACAATGGAATACTATGCATCATGATGAAACAATGATTTTGTAAATTACTATCTAACTTGGGAGGGACCGGAGAAAATTTTGCTAAGTGACCTAACTCAGTCCCATAAAGACACTGTATAAGACCATTATTGTAGAATGTGTATGAGGATCCAAGGGGGGAAAGAGGGGAGGAGAGGGGTGAGGATAGGGAGGGGCAGGTGTTAACCATAAGGTTGCACAATTTGATGGGTGGCGGGAGGGGTAGGTAAAGGAAATAAGAAAGACCTGGTGTGAAAAACACACATACAAACTTTGTTAAGTAAATCAGCATAAAATAAAAATTTTATTTACACTTTTTAAAAGCCAATAAAGAGGCAAATAAAAAGGTATTATCTTACTAAAAAAAAAGTAGGGCAAGGTTCAAATCTGTTGCTCACTGGGTGAACAACTACAAGAACATAGAAAAAATACTTGGAAAATTAGCAAAATGCCAAGGAAATCTAGACCATTACATTAGAAACCAAGAATACCACCAACACTAAATTATTGTAGCTCTTATGATAAATCTTACACTGTCTGGTTTGCCACTTTGATGAGAGCACTTATCAAAGCAATCTTGGATTTGGTGCCTAGAGTTCTGAAGAGTGAGAATTGGGTCTTTTTTTTCCATGATGGGAAATGACTCCCTGCCTGATTCCTAAACTGACAAAATGATAAGGATAAGATCTAGGTCAAAAATAATATCAAATGTCTACTGTGTCTTAGGAAATATTTTACTAATACAGTTTCTCTTTTGATTTCCATCATCAGTATAAGTCCTAAATCAGTTAAATACCATCAGATTAGAGTTTTACAATTCTACTCAATCTCATGACCTAGTGGTAAACTACATTTCAAAGTCACATGTTTCAAACTGACCAGCTGGTTCACAGGATAAGGATGGGCAACCTCCTCCTGTTCATTTACTGCCTGTGAGCTGGTTCCAACTTGATGGCACATAACAACAAGACCACTCTCCTGTGACAAACTTTCTACCTAAATGCCAGTAAAACTTCTGTCCTCCGCATTTCTATCATTACCTCATATGCAGTTTGTTCTTTCACATTCTTAAAATCCATGTATTACCTTGGGGGGGTAGTGTAAGCAAGTACTATGTTTTTTTAACTTATTTACTTAATGTCTTTATTAAATACTTTCCCCATCACAAGATAGCACTAACAGAAATGGTGATTGTAGGGAATAGCAATATAAAATAAGAGTTTGCTTACACATTGTAATTAGTTAATTGCATCAATCAATGATAATTAATGCCTAGGGATGGTTGTCTGAAAAAAATCAATGTGACTTAGAAAAACGTTGACTCAAGAAACCGAAATAAAACAAAACAGCAAAACAAATTATTTTTTTTTCATTCTTAATGAGTTTAAATATCTATGAACTTGGAGAAACAAGGAAAGTTATACAAGTGTTCAGGTCTTTCGTTCACAGGGTCGCTATGAGTCGTCTACGACTCAACAGCACATAACAACAACAACATGAGTTTAAATAGAAAGGTATGGATAACTAGAACAGAGAAGAGATAACATTTCTAAACATTAGTGGGAATAAATATAGTTTTTATCTACATTTGTTTATATATTTAGCATTTTAGCAGAACTTAAAATGTTTGAAGCAATATGAGCACAAAGAATAATTGTCTTACCTGGTTACATCCTTCACCAATTTCTCCCTTTTGAGGATGAATTTTAAATTGTGCAGTTTTTTGAAAATAGTACTTAGCAGGGAGATATTTAGATAGATTACGTAGAACAGTCTGAATCTTTGATTGGTCTCCCATAGCACAAGGTGGAAAATGGAAGACATTTCCGTTATCAAAATGTAGTGCGACTGGAAGCCCTGAACCGCTCAATGCTAATTCCAATTTCTGAAATCGATCATCTGTAAAAACAAGAATTATCTGTTGAGCATTATATATTTATATAGATTTCAAAATACATTTTCTCAGACCAAATAACATCATCTGAAAGCTCATCCAATCCTTCAACAAGTATTTAGAATCTTCTTAATCAAAATGCTAATCTAAACTTTGAGTATACACTAGTGAATAGGACAAAATCATTGCTTTCAAGGGCTTTATCACATTCTAATTGAGTGACATCAACAATAAAAAAAAGTAAATAAATATATTGCATTGCAGAGTGAATTTGTACCACAGAGACAGTAAAGTAGGATAAGACAGGTCAAATGAAGGAAAATTCATGACAATTCATATTTTATATAGGGAAGGCTGCAAAAGTCTTCCTGATAGGGAGGGAAATTTGTGTGTAGCTATAAAGGTAGTCTCCGCTCAATAGTGTTCAAGGCCTCAAACCTGTTCCTGAGATGATTCTGAAATTCAGGTGGGATGAAATTAAAGTCATACTTTGGCTCCTGTGGATTCGGTTTAATTTTCCTCAGCTTCAGCTTGAACTTGCATATGAGTAATTGGTGGTCTGTTCCACAATCAGCTCCTGGCCTAGTTTTCACAGCTGACATTGAGCTTCTCCAGTGGTTTTTTCCACAGATGTAATCGATCTGATTCCTATGCATACCATCAGGTGAAATCTATGTGTATAACCTGCGTTTATGTCTCTTAAAAAAGTATTTGCAATGAACAAGACATTGATTGTGCAAAATTCAATCATTTTATCTCCAGCTTTATTTCTGTCACCAAAGTCCATGTTTTCCAAATACTGATTCTTCTTCTCTGTTCCCTACTTTTGTGTTCCAGTCGCCAATTATTATCAAAGCATCTTGACTGCATGTTCGATCTTATCTCTGACTGTAAGTTGTTGTTATGTGCCGTCGAGTCGCCTGCGACTCATAGCCACCCTATGAACAACAGCCCTAAACTCTGCTCTGTCCTGTGCCAATCACACCTCACTGTCTCTGGCATACCTGACACATTGCCATAGTCATTGTGTCATTCCATCTTATCCAGACCTTCCTCTCCTGCGCTGTCCCTCCACCCTCCCAGGCATGATGTCCTTCTCCAAGGACCTGTCTCTCCTCACAACATGTCAGAAGTATGTTAGACGGAGCTTCAGAATCCTTGCCTCCAAGGAGCCACCCGGTTTAACCCTCTCCAGGGCAAATCTATTTGTTTCCCTAGCAGTCCATGGTATTCTCAATACTCTTCTCCAGCACCACAACTCAAAGGCATCAATTCTCCTTCTATCCTCCTTGGTCATTGTCCAACTCTCTGATGCATAACAAGTGATTGCAAAGACCATGGCCTGTATCAGACGCACCTTAGTCTCCAAAGAGACACCATTGCTCTTCAGCACTTTGGAGAGGTCCCTAACAGCTGACTTTCCCATGGCAATGCGCCTTTTAATTTCCTGGCTGCTGATGCCAAGACTATTGACTGTGGAGCCAAGCAAGCTAAAGCTGTGTGCAATCTCAGTCTCTTCACCATCCATCCTGATGCTGCCAATTGGTCCAGTGGTGAGAATTTTTGTCCTCTTGACATTGAGCCTCAATCCATATTGTAGGCTGCAGTCCTTGACACTCTGCAGCAGGCGCTTCAGGCCCTCTTTCGTTTCAGCAAGCAGGGTTGTGTCATCTGCATAACGCAGGCTGTTGATAAATCCTCCACCAATCTTGACCCCACATTTCTCCTCATAGAGCCCAGCCTCCCGGATAATCTGTTCTGAATATAGGTTGAAAAGGTATGGAAGTAAGATGCATCCCTGGCGTATGCCTTTCCCAAATTTGAACCATGTAAGAGTTGATAGAAATCATCTATTTCTTTTTCTTCGGCTCTGGTTGTTGGTGCATATATCTGAATGATAGTGATGTTCACTGGACTTCCCTGTAAGCGTATGGATATAATCCTATCACTCACAATGTTGTACTTCAAGATGGACCTAAAAATTTCTTTTTTAACTATGAAAGCAACTCCATTTTTCCTCACCTTTTCATCTCCAGAATAATATATCATATGATCATCTGACTCAAAATGACCCATGCCAGTCCATCTCATCTCTCCAGTCCCTAGTATGTCAATATTTATGTGTTCCATTTCTTTCTGAACAATTTCTAATTTTCCTACATTCATGGTTTTCACATTCCATGTTCCAATCACTAGTGCCTACTTACAACTGTTCCTCTTCCTTTGTATTTTCATGCTTGAAAGTTCTACCTAGGTTGCCACCTAGGTTTCATCCCACCTGAATTTCAGAATCATCTCAGAAACAGGTTTGAGGCCTTGAACATTAATGAGCGAAGACCAGATGAACTGTGGGAGGATGTTAAAGGTATCATCCAGGAAGAGTGCAGGCGGTCATTACAAAGACAGAAGAGGAAGAAAAGACCAAAATTGATGTCAGAAGAAACTCTGAAGATTGCACTGGAACGTAGAGAAACCAAAGCACAAGGAAGAATTCAAGACACTAAAGAGCTCAACAGAAGATTCCAAAAGGCATGACGGAATGACTAAGCAAAATATTACAATGAAAAGTGCGAGGAGCTAGAGTCAGATAATCAAAAGGGCAGAACTCGTTCAGCATTTCTTAAGCTCAAGGAACTGAAGAACAAATTCAAACCTCGAGTTGCTATAATCAAAGATGCTTTAGGAAGAATGTTAAATGATCCAGGAGGTATCAAAAGAAGATGGAAGGAATATACTGAGTCATTGTATCAAAAGGAGTTGGCAGACACAGAAAAATTTAATGAAATAACATTTGAGCAAGAGCCTATAGTGATGAAGGCAGAGTTTCAAACTGTTTGAAGGAAATAGCAAAAAATAAGGCCCCCGGAATAGATGGTATACCAATTGACATATTTCAGCTAACAGATGCTGCCCTGGATGTGCTCACCAAGCTGTGCCAAGAAATCTGCAGAACAACCACTTGGCCAACTGACTGGAAGAGATCTATATTTGTTCCGATCCCAAAGAAGGGTCACCCAAATGAGTGTGGAACAATATCATTGATTTCACATGTAAGCAAGATTCTACTGAACATTATCCAAAAACAACTGGAACAGTACATCAGTTGAGAACCACCAGAAGTCCAGGATGGGTTTAGAAGAGGTCGTGGTACTAGGGATATTGTAGCTGATGTTAGATGGATCTTAGCTGAAAGCAGAGATTACCAGAAGAATGTCTGTCTGTGTTTCATTCATTATGCAAAGGCATTTGACTGCGTGGATCATAACAAACTGTGGCTGACTCTGAGAAGAATTGGAATCCGAGAACACTTGATCATGCTAATGCGAAACCTATACTTGGACCAAGAGTCAGTCGTCAGAACAGAGCAGGGCAACACTGCATGGTTCAAAATTGGGAAGGGTGTACGCCAGGGATGTGTCCTGTCTCCATACCTTTTCAACATGTATGCAGAGCAGATTATCCGAGAGGCTTAGCTCTATGAGGAGAAGCGTGGCATTAGAATTGGTGGAAGATCTATCAACAATCTGTGTTATGCAGATGACACAACCTTGCTCGCTGAAACTGAGGAGGACCTCATGCATTTACTGCAGAGGGTCAAGCACTGCAACCTTCAGTATGGACTGAGGCTCAATGTCAAGAAGACAAAGATTCTCACCACTGGACTAATTGGTAGCATCAGAATGGATGGTGAAGAGATTGAGATTGTTCACAGCTTCAGTTTGCTCAGCTCCATAGTCAACACTCTTGGCACCAGCAGCCAGGAAATCAAAATGCGTATCACGATGGGAAAGTCTGCTGTCACGGACCTCTCTAAAGTACTCAAGAGCAACGGTGTCTCTCTGGAGACTCAGGTGCGCCTGATACAGGCCATGGTCTTTGCAATCACTTGTTATGCATCAGAGAGCTGGACAACGACTAGGAAGGATAGAAGGAGAATTGACGCCTTTGAGCTGTGGTGCTGGAGAAGAGTATTGAATGTACCATGGACTGCCAAGAAAACAAACAGATTCATCCTAGAGAGGGTTAAACCAGGCTACTCCTTGGAGGCAAGGATTCTGGGGCTTCGTCTGACATACTTTGGACATGTTGTAAGGAGAGAGAGGTCTTTGGAGAGGGACATCATGCTGGGTAGAGTAGAGGGACAGCGCAGAGGGGGTTAAACCAGGCTACTCCTTGGAGGCAAGGATTCTGGGGCTTCGTCTGACATACTTTGGACATGTTGTAAGGAGAGAGAGGTCTTTGGAGAGGGACATCATGCTGGGTAGGGTAGAGGGACGGCGCAGGAAGGAAATACCCTCTGTGAGGTGGATTAATTCAGTGACTGGGGTTAATAGTGATGGGTGTGCCAGAGGCAATGCGATTAGCACAGACTAGAGGAGAGTTAGGGCTGTTGTACATATGGTCGCTATGAGTCGCAAACGACTCGACAGCACATAACAACAACAACAACATAAAGAGAGTCAGGGGGAAAAGTCATTTGAAATCCATGAGAAAAGTATTACAGTCACAAATAGCGAAGGTGAAAAATCTACAAACTTGCTTCGGTTCTAAATACAGTTGTTGCTGTTGTTGTTGTTGTGTACCATTGAGTCAGTATCAACCCATGGCTGACCCTCCGGCAAGTTTTCAGAGGAAGTTAATCACACAGGAGGGTATAATCCATCCTTTGAAGGAGGATGACTATCCTTCTTCCGCAGAGCAGTTGGTGGATTTGAACCTTTTGCTCTGGGATTGCAAAGCAGCTTCTTGCCACTAGGCCACAAATATTTCCTTCTAAATACAGTAAGGAACAGAATGTAGGAGAGTAGCAGAAGTTCAGTGATAATGGCGGCCAGATCATGCAGAAACTTGAAGTCTACTGAAAATATTCAAACTCTGAGTGTGACAGGAAATCACTGGAAGCTTTTGAAGGGACAAGTGTAGGCTCCATAAAACTTTTCTTTTTTTAATCGCTCTGACTGCTTGAGTTGAGGTCAGATTGCAATAGGACAAGGGAAGATACAGATAAACTATTTAAGTGGCAACTGTAACAATTCAGGAAAAATTATATGGAGGTGTAGGCTGGAGAAATAGATGAGAAAATGGTTAAAAATGGTCAGATGAGATCTATTATCAAAGGTAGAGACAACAATAATATGCTGAAACTAAATATAAGAAATAAAAGAGGGAAATAAAAATGATCATAAGGTTTTGAAACTGAGCAACAGAATGGACACACTTGCCATTTTTTTTTAAAATTTAAAACAGGTAAAATTTCAGGAAAACCAGGCTTTAGGAAAGCAAGTTTTAAATCTTAACTAGTTGAACATATTATGTAAATTATCATGAAATTGACTTCTAACATGACACAAATGACATTTTAAGGTCTCTTGAATATGCTTCTATTTTTTAGTCCATTCCATCTGAACAAAATTTTGTTAGATGTTCTATACAAAATTTGACCTTGAGTCTATCCTACGTGAATTTAAAAACCATCTTAGGAACAGATTTGAGGCCTTGAACACTAATGAACGAATACGAGATGAACTGTGAGAACATTAGAACACTTGATTGTTCTAATTCAAAACCTGTACTTGGACAAGGAAACACTACATGGTTCAAAATTGGGAACGGTGTACGACAGGGATGTGTCCTATCTCCATATATTTTCAACCTATATGCAGAACAGATTATCCGGAAGGGTGGGCTGTATGAGAAGTGTAGTATCAGGATTGGAGGAAGATTCATCAACAATCTGCATTATGTAGGTGACACAACCCTGTTTGCGGAAAAGAAAGAGGACCTGAAGTGCTTGCTGCAGAAGGTCAAGGACTGCAGC